AACATAATCTTGTATAGAATATTGAATCTTTTTAATTTAGAATACAATTAAATCGTTTATTGAAGTAAATTTTAAATTTATTGAATTTGAAAACAATCAATAAACAATTTTTTGTAAAATTCGAATATGTTGTACTTGATTATGATCAAATCAATATAACTAAAATAAAATTTTAAAACACTTATGTTCAAATATAACTGAACAATTTACTTTTGTATAGAATATTGGATATGTTAATCTAGAATATAATTAAAGATTCGATTTATTGAGATGAATTTCAAATCTGTTATATTAAGATATAATCCAACAATATAATTTTGCATAGAATATTCAATCTTAATATTTGGAATATGATTAAATTGCTTATTGAACTAAATGTTAAATCTAATAAGTTTAAATATAATCAAAAAACAATTTTTTTTTGTAAAATTCGAATGTGTTGTACTTGATTATAATCGAATCAATATAACTAAAAAATCTTAAAACTGTTATATTCGAAAATAATTGAACAATTTACTTTCGTATAAAATATTAAATATGTTAATTTAGAATATACTCAAAGATTCGATTTATTGAGAAGAATTTTAAATCTATTGTATTAAAATATAATCCAACAATATAGTTTTTAATAGAATATTGAATTCTTTGTTCTTGAATACTATCAAAATAATTTTAACGTGATAGATGTTATACAATTTGGTAAAGTGATTCCGAGTATGCGTTGTTGTAAATGATTTTAATCGTTCGGAAAAGTATAGACCAATATACTGTTGGTGTTATCGTAAAACAAATCGTTGTTCAATTTTTTTTAAATTCGGAAAACAATAGGTGGCTCTGATGATCGAAAATTCTAAACTAATTAGAAAAAATACAATACAATGTTGATATAATTATAGGATTCATAATGTACTAATTATATCTTCGATTGATTTCAGTGAATTATTGCATGCTTTTCTAGGGTACATTCATGAATGAAAAACTATCTAATTAGATCGATTTTTTTTCAAATGTGAGAAAAATTAAAAAAATACGAAAATTGAACTAAAAAAAACATATAAATCATTGACAAATTTTTTTTTGCATATAATAACATATTTAATATTGTATGAAATCGCTGAAGTAATAACAATACAGTAAAAAACAGAGATGAGCGAGTCAGCAAAACAGTTGCACCGTCACCGCCCCGTCCCGCACCGTCGATAAAGTTCCGCACCGCCACCGCCCCGCCCCGCCCCGTCAAGAATATGTTTTAAAAAACTATTTATTGACATATTTTTCATTAAATTTTCATAATGGCTATTTCATTTCATGAGATGAAGAGGCATATTTTAAATGCATAAACATCGTTCCGAAATAGAAAAAAATAAATATATGAAAATGAAAGGCAATTATAATACAGTCACTCATTTTGTGGAACTCACGTATATTTTCGAATAAAATAGTGATTGTAAGTTTTAAGTTTGAGGTTTGGCGGCTCTCTCCCTTTCCCCACTCCATTACAGACACTCCACTCAGGGTTGCCAGATCTTTCGATACGGCAGGAAAAATTGCGATTTTTTAAAAGTTTCTCCAACGACTTTCCGACGTTGCGATTTTTCCGATTTTAACATATTTTTCCGATCGCCTTCAGATTTCCTAATTTTTCTCCGGTTTTCGAAGTCTTATTTGGGAATTCAAGTTCTTAGGACATTCTAGAATAGTTTAACCATGACACGACACCACACATATATAGCGATCTATTTCACCATAGTTCTCGGGTAGTGAAGCGTCATGAACTCAACAAACCACACTGCAGTGATTTGAAAGCATATCCTCCAATAAAACTATGATGTTTTACAGACAATTAAGATCCAGCTTTCTATCACGATGAACTAACTTTCTCTGTTCGTTTATTATAGTGTTAATTAAGAATATTTTCGTTTCTGAGCTTTTTTTGTTTCATCACAGATATCATAAGACTAATCATAATCGTATGGGCACTAATTTAGCTGTTGCAGAATTGAAAATCGGAATGAGTTCTGTTTATACTTGTGGACATTTTTATGAATATCTGTTACCTCAATCTGAGATTTTGAAGAGTATTCGAGCTAATAAAAAAGTATGAACAAAAACGAACATTATACAGAATAAGTCTTAGTTTTGTTTTGCATAAGTTTTGTGAAATGCATGTGTGTGTATGAATTTACAATACTGATTCTATTGTTTCGTCAAGTTGGTTATAGCATTTTTGATAAAAATAATGTGATCCTGTTCAAATTACTTATGTAGATTTCTCAATCATGAGTAAATTGTGTAATCGATATTTTCTTTAATTCTTTATGAAATATCATTTCTGATATTGGTTCGAAAAGATGAACAGAAGCAAGATAAAGGATATTGAAGCTATCGAAAATATATAGACTAGTTATTTAAGCATGGAAAAATGCTTTCTGATTTTCTTCCGATTTCGAGAACAAAAATTCCGACTTTCCCAATTTTTAGAAAAATTTTTCTGATTTTTTAATTTTCGATCTGGTAACCCTGACCCCCACCATTACAGACCTCAGCAGCGCATAAAAGGCTCTAGTTTTTATATAATTTATCAATGATTTCATACGTATTCGGAAAAAAAGTATTTTACAATTTAAAAATAAGGCATCAGGACAAAAAATTAAAAAAATATATGTGAGTTCCACATTTTAGCTCCTCTGGAGCTGCGCTAACAAGTCTTTTTTTACTGATTAGTTTTGTGAAAAGATTTTAAAATTTAAAAAAATGTCTCTAAAGGTCTGAGTATACTTAAAAAATCAAGGTTATACAAAGGCGGGAAACCGCGAAATTTCGTCATGTACCGTCACCGCCCCGCCCCGTCAAGTTTTAGCACCGCCCCGCCGGGGCGGGACGGGGCGGTTTTACACCGCGGCTCGCTCATCTCTGGTAAAAAAGATTTCCTTTGCCTAGAACTGCTGGATATTTACAGGTCAGTAATGGACAAATATTTTTGGTGACAGGCGCACAAAAAAACATTCATGTTTAACCATGGAAAAACTCCATTTAGTAAAAAAAATTATTTTCTTTGTATTTTTCATAGGATGTTGTTATTAGGAACATTTTTTCGGCTTACTGTTCTTGTTAAGAACAGTGCCCCTAATAACAACAAATTCAATTTTTTAGATTCTACCGCTAATTACTCGACCAATTTTGATGATTGAAAATTGATTCTTTTATGATTCGATAGAGAAAATATTTTTCTACTCAAAAATATAAAAAAATCTAATTTTTCATAGAAAATCATCGAGTTACAAAGGAAACTAAGGAGATCCCTGAAATGGCTGTTGTTATTAGGAACATTGACTGTACTCAATATTGGTCAAGATTTTTTTTTGATTTGACTTTTTTTCTTTTCCCCTTTCCTATCGTTTCTCATTCCGTGCAAAATATCAACCAGTTGTTTATTGCCACTTATTCTTCAATGAAATAAATTTTTCCTTCAGTATAAGTTTATATGTATGTCACGCATTTACATCGATGAGGATTTTATTTACTATCAACACTGTCACCTTTGAAGAAATATATTTCTAGTTGTTTTGTTTAACACTATCATATGTATATACACGCTCGTCAACATTCAAGATCAAACGCTAAATAATTGGTAGTCACAATTGATTGAAAAAAATCAGATATTAATTGTTCTAAACATGCTCATATGAATAGTTGTTTAACTCAAGAGTTTCTAAAAATATGTTAAGTTTGTTTAATATGTATTTGTATTTATTCAAACCATACTCATAGATATATAAGTTTATTTTAATTTATTCAAAGATATTATAATTGAAATAATTCAGAGATATTGATTTTTATTTGAATTCATTTAAACATTTTTTCGACGAGCACTCAGCCAAAGATAGTGACAATTCAATTTATTTACTGATTCATATTTTTGTGTGGACTCATCTATCGATGTTTATGATTATAGAAATTTAACGATATCTATTTTTATATGAATTTATCTAAAAATATTTATGATTGGATTTATTTAGCGGCCTTTTTTATTTGAATTCATTCAAAGACGTTCATGATTCAATTCATTTAAAAATATTTGTTTCATTTCGATTCATTTAAAGATGTTGATGTTTGAATTTATTTAAAGATCTTTATGATTGAATTTATTTACAGATATTTATCTTTATTTGAATTCCTTCAAAGATATTTATTTTTATTTCAACTCAAATTAGACATATTCATGATCGGATTTATTGAAAGATGTTTATGACTGAATTTATTTTATGATAATTACAATTAAATTTACTGAAGATATTCATTATTAAATTTCTTCAAAATTATTTATGATCATCTGAATTTTTTTAAGATGATTGCGTTTGAATTGATTCAAAAATACTTATGATTGAATTGTATTCATTAATATACATATATGTTTTCTTTTTAATTTATTTAAACATAACAATGATTGCCTTATCTAATCGAGGATCTTTATACTCAGATTAAAGTCATAGATATTTCTATATCAATCCTATCTAAGATACTCGTGTTTAATTGAACTCGGAGATATTTCCAACTAGTTCATATTGATAGTTATCTTTAGTTGAATCATACGCACCGATAGTTAAAATTAGGGGTGGCATTTTCTTGTTAATTTATTTTAAATTTAAATTTTTCAAAATTTATTTTCGGATTTAATAAATTGTAAATAGGCCACCCCCAGTTAAAATTGAATTTCATTCAAAGACATTGATGATTCAATCGTCCTGAGAAGTATGCATGGTTCAATTATGTCCAAAAAATATTTATGTTTGAATACCATTCAACGATATTCATAGTTGGACAATATTTAAAAATATTTATGAGTGAATGAAATTCATAAATGATTACAACTATATAAATTTCTGAGAAAATCGAATGATTTATTCGCATCTCTTGACTTATTAATAGAGAGATGCAATTGTAAGAGAGAAACTTTAGAGAAATATACTTTATTTTAGACAATGAAATATATTAAATATTTAGAAATTGATGGACATCAAAGGAGCTGGAAATGTATCACTTTGAAAACGACGAGGAACATTTGAAAATGAGGAAGAGTATACCATTTTGTTTTGTTGTAGATAGTTACGAATGGTTGCTTCCATCATTTCAACTCCATATTTTGATGGATGTAGGCCATCGTACATGTATTGAATTGGTATTGCCGGTTGAATAGTATCAAATTTCTTCTTGGCAGCCAATTCGAGTAGAAACCCATTACATTTTTCAATTTCATTTAAAACTGCCTGGCCTTCAGGTAAAAGCCAGGTCTTTCGTGTGCGCTGTTGAAGAAGCTGCCAAATAATATTTACGTCGGAATATAAACGTCGAATTTTTTCAATTGTATAATCAATACGTTGAACTGCTTGAAAAGCTCCAACTCGATGAATATCATTTGTGCCAAGTATGAAAATTAATTGATTGACACCACGCATAAAAAATTGACCATCAGTTGATTCCAACCAAGATAGAGCATCAGCACAATCACTATCCGATTTAAATCTAAGACGCACTTCATTCGTTTCATTTTCTATGTTTTTTACTGATATGTTTCGAGCGATTGACGAACCAACTATAGCGGTAATTAATTTATTTTCCCTTTTTTGCTCTTGATTATTTCTTTTAATTTCTCTTACATGTTGTTGATGATGACGTACAGATAATGGACCATGTTGAAGACGACGTTCCTTTTTCTTTTGACGCAATCGATAACAAGACCGTGCACGATCACAATGTTGTTTATGTAGCTGTTGTTGATGATGTGGAGAATGGTTGAAAGATTGATTTTCAAATACCATTGGTAAGATGAATTGAGACGAAGTAGACAGTTTATCATCAATATGCATTTTTTGCATCATTTTTTGCACTTTGACTACCGAAGCTGTGTTTTTTGACATGATATTCAGTTTTTTATATGAAAACGATCACGTTATGTCTTTTCTCCTACAAAAATGGCTCTTATATAGTTTTTAAAGCAATCAAACCAATTTGTTTCAAAGATCATTTTCATTCTCATTTTCAAGATGTTCGTATTTTTCTCAGAGACACCAGATGATACACGCAGATAAAAACAAAAAAAAAGTTGTTTAATTCATGTTTGTTTATTTGACCAACATACATTTCACTTGCATATATGTCTGAATTGTTGCTGTTCTCTTTTCAATTAGCAATGGTGTCATCCTTTGATTCCTAATCGGTGTCCATCGTGGAAAAAGCAGCAGACGAAGAAAGAATTGTTAAATTGAATAACACATAACTTAGTCACGCTACGCAATAATACCCCCTATAGTGATAATCTTTTAAGCTTAATCTGTTCACAGCATCTACTAAAATTTGACACGCTTAATAATTCCATTTTATATTTTCTCTCTCTCTCTCTCTCGAAAAATTGCACGTAAACGTTGCGATATGATTTCATTTTATCATTTTATTTATTCTTGTCTTCCACATTACATTAATTCATCATTACTATTGAGACAAATAGCTGCTTTAATCTTTAAATCGGTAAGTGAACGTTTGAACATTAGGGTGTGGGTGTGGGTGTGGATGTCTATGTGAATATGAATGTCGGGAACAAGCACACCCACCAGCAGAGAGACAGGCACAGTCACACCCACACCTACATCCAACCCCACACCCACACCCACACCCACACCACACACCACACACGCACACCCACACCGTACACCCACATCCAACCCACACCCACACCCACATCGACAAACACATCCACATCGACACCCACACCCACACCCGAGGCAGTAATGACGAGGTCGGCGTGCATTGCTGTGCTTCCTTCGTTTATTCTTTCGATACCGTATATCTTGACACCGAAGACGCCGTGTCGGAGGAAGGAATCGAACCTTCTGATGTCTGACTGATAATCAGATGCATAGAACCACTACTCCATTCCCGGCTATATAAAGCAATTGACTTATGTATATGAAAAGACCTGGTATTGTCAAGAGCACGTGAATCTCATCCGTTCATTATTATTGTACGTATAGTTCATTTTTTCAATATTTATTCTATATAACTAATGATTATGTTGGTTTACAAATTAAAATGATTACAATTCTGTACACGAAATGAAGATGATTTTTTTACAACAAAAACAATGACTACGATTCTGTACAAGAAACCACTACTAGAACCAATGTAAACATGATATGTACATATTCATAAAAGTCTTTTGGTAGTGTTTTGATTATAATGGATATGAATACGTTGTAGAGCCGTCGCTTCGAGCATCAATATGCCAATCAATTTCTTCTGCAGTAGTTGTAGCTGTTATTAAAGATGTTGTTGGTGTTTCAGTTGTCGATGACGTTGTTA